GGAGGCCTCTGGGCAGCTGCCCACTTTGCCCAATCCTGAATCTGGCCTTGGGAAGGGAGCACCTAAGACCTGTTTGACAATATATATATATATATATATATATATATATATATATATATATATTATATATATATATATATATATATATATATATATATATATATATATATATATATATATATATATATATATATATATATATATATATATATATATATATATATACCTGTATATACACACACACAAGGGAGGTGTACTGCGTCGTTGTAGGCAGGGAGCACCTTCAAGACCGGTTTGACAAGACCTCCCTGAATTCTTTGGTCAACAGACTAGGAACATTTTTGTGGAAGTTGAAGTAGGAATTTTTTTGTTAAACAATAATTATAATTTCTTTCTGTGTGTGTAAGTGTGTAAGACATCTTGTACTGTACAAGAGTAACTGTGCCTGTGTTTGCAATTAACTCGCCAAGGTCCTTATTAAACACAGCAATCACTAGCTTGACTGCGCACCTGGGCTTCCCTTTGTCCGTCCAGTGTTGCTTGTAACATTCCTCCCCTTCAGTGCCTTCAGCCAGTGCAGTACACTAACAGATCAGCTGCCGTGCAGACGTCTTCTGTCTTCAGGCTCCCGCCACGATCTACACAATCAACTTCATTTCCTTATTCGGGTATACTTATTTACTCCTTAACGTCAGTTTATATAGATTTCAAATTTAATTTTCTACAGTAATTTTTGTATCACTTTAACTTGTATTTTCTGTGGATTGTGAACACTGCATTTTGATCTTGGTTTCAGACGTAGCATTTCCTATTTGATTTAGCGCCTTCAAGTGGTTTGATTTTACTAAGATGTATAAAATAATCATCCCTGAGCTTACATAAAAGATTGAACAACTAATGAGCATTGTCCTTCGTGCATGTTAAATGATTTAAATGTTGACACAACCCAGTCATGCAAATTGCTTAATACTTATGAAACATGAATTAGTTTTTGTAAGAGACAATGTGTGGTGGTAGTATGAGATAGCCAGATGGTAGCAGAAGACAGCTAATAATGGTGTTGGGAGATAGCTAATAATGGTGGTGAGAGACAGCTAATAATGGTGTTGGGAGATAGCTAATAATGGTGGTGAGAGGCATCTAATAATGGTGGTGAGAGACAGCTAATAATGGTGTTGGGAGATAGCTAATAATGGTGGTGAGAGACAGCTAATGATAGTGGCTGGAGACGCGAATAATTGTGATAGGAGGCAGTTAGTAATGGTGGTAGGAGATAGACTATTAACACAGTAGGACAATCATCTAAAAGAGGAGGTAATACGTGGGGTTTCATCTTGATGTCTTGACTGTTGGTATGTAAGGGTAAGAACTCAAAGAAAGCAGGTTACCCGCTTACGGGTCGAGTCGCTGACAAGGTCATGAATGAATACGGTATAAGCGCGGCACGCAATAGAAGCATGTTGAAGTCTGTCTGCGCGGGTTGCCCGCACTGACAAGTTTACCGGAATGTACAAAACGTACTTTTCTTCCGTTTCGCGCGCGTGGACGTGTTGATGAGGCGGTGTTAGTTGTGGAGGTGTTTTTAATATTTTGTCATGGTGGAAGTAGAGGTTTGATCACCTGTATTGTATTGAAAAAAACTACGGTCCTCTTTAGCTCACTAAAATGTGATATTCACCGTAATTTTCTCAAATGCGATTGATTTCGTGTATTCCAGTTCTTTTCTCCTGATTTTTGGTATAAGCACTATCGAGCAAAGAAAATCTTTATCAGACGACGAGATAGACCTCTTACTGTACAACAGCTGACCACAACTCGCAGATATACCTGCACGTATTTTATTAGACTTTTGGTATGGGTACCATCTATTTGAAGGTACGCCATATTTCCCTATCCATAATTATAAATATATATATTATTACATGGGAAAATACTGTAGCACTACAGTTATTAGTAATGACTCTCGAAACGTAATATTTTCTGATGATATTCTAGGTGAGTGTATTCGTCCACCCATTTACCCAAACCTGCATAATGAGGGCGACTGCCTACGTGACCAGCCTCGTCTGCATCCTGATCCTGCTACTCTGTCTCACACCCAGTTTGGGAAAGACCCAGTAAGTACTTAATAAATACTGTACTGTGAAGGGCGGTAGGAAGTAAGAGGGAACAAAGGTATGGTGGGAGAAGGAGGGATATGATAGCCTGCTAGGGAACAGTAGAGATGACACAACTAATTATAAAACTTGTAGATTAAGAAGGCCAGCACTTCATAAACTGCTGGATGAACTATGGGTACTTTGGGTGCAAATCAGCAACCCTGATAGTAAAAGCAATCGCTATACCCACCAGCTACTGCACCCTATTTGGACCGAGCTCCAGAAATTAGAAAGATGGAAATGAAATAGGCTACACATTGGTCACTGCAGTAGCGATTAATAATCAGTGCCGGATTGTGCTAAGAGTGGACGAACCTATATTTTCGGGGCACCCTAGTTTAAATATAGAAAAAGTAAATATAAAGCTAGCACCTTTAGGTTTATTTTTATTATGTCACTGGCTTGATTTTTTCCCGTGTATATAAGCAACGATACGCCATTGCTTACTCAGAAGTTTAAGGTAAAAAAAATATTTCCCATGTAGGCCTATAGAGTAATAATTTTTAGGGCGTTTTACTTTTATAACTGCACAGGGCCCCCACAGGCCTAATCCGGCGCTGTTGATAATACACAAACTATTACCAATTATATGCTGCTTTAAATAACCAAAAGATGCTGAATTAATGGGGAGTAACAGTGGTGTTCTTGTGTCTTTCACAACATTAGCAACGGAGACCGTATTACTTAGTTCATAATTGCTCATGCAAAGTCCGTTGGGCGAGCAGGCCCCAACATCCCAAAGATTACAGACAGTAAAGATAGCTTATAAAGCAACTTTGTTACCCCAATGCACAACTCGTTGACGAGCTTTCAAAGACAAGAATTAAACTGATGTCAAGTATTCAGACTGGCAGTACATTGTGTTGATCTTATAACAGGTACCGAGATCTCGCCGTTAGATCTTGGAGATAAAAAGACTGACATATTCTTTCGGGATATTAATTACTTTTTAAATATAGAACTGACAAAAGCTTCAATACGCTGTACAAACATCAGATTCTCTCATGATTGGGATTCAAAATGATCTAATTTCAGTTGCAATTTGAAAACTCAAGGCATCCATCCTCAAGGACGATGTCAGGGATTCGTCATTTCTAATGGCAGACCTTACACTAACTTATTTGACAATTTTACTAACAATGAATACAGTTGAAGCTTTCAACATCACCCACAAGGGATCTTGAATGTTTCATCAGTGAATTTTCGATCTTGCACCGGTATTTCTCTCGCTGTTATTAATATGGTTTTTTCGTGATGTTTAGACAATTCTAAGACCCTTTTCTTCAGTGATATTTCCGCGGGAAATTAGGGATAACCGATATATTCATTTTTCAATATTATTAGATTTGGTCAGTCACAAGTGTCGTCATTTGTTGTTTACGTCTCACAGAGAAGGTCTGGCCACCCATCATGCAGTGCTCCTTACCTCCGTGTTGTCTTCTTAAGCGTTTTCAGCACATGTGCAGGGGGTGGTGGTGGAGTTTCTTGTTGACTATAGCGATAGGAGACTTATAATTAGGCAAGAGTTTTTTATCTTAGCCAATGAACAATGCGTGGGTGCGTCGGGAGCGGAGACTTGTAGTTTTTTAATTCTGCAGTGTCACAATATCAGGTTATCCAGAGGACCGTGAGACATTTTTCTTGCCACGTCTGAGAAAAGAAAACAATAATACTACCAAAAATATAAGAAAACCCAGAGTTACATCATTTTATTCACCGGCGGCGATCGTAATGCTTAAATGCCCAGAGAAACTTGCTCTATTTTCTTAAGCATACAATTATCCAGTTGTCCGGAGTACCCTCAGACATTCACCTTGTCTGTATGGCAAAAGGAAAATCTTTGCATTGCTAATAAGCTCAAAAACTGGGTTGCTTCGTCCATGTCATCAGCGAGGCATTCATTTTGTTATACCTGGCCACAGAAAAGCCTTAGCCTTACGAGTATTCTAAAACAAAATAAACAATCAAACGTCAACTAAGGGCAGGCCGTCGTCCTTGGGCGCCATTTGGTAACCTGGGGTAGCGCGACGCCCAGGGCCCCATTCAAGGAGTGGACAAAGTGGGCAGCTGCCCAGGGGCCTCCACATGTGCGGAAGTAGCTATATCAGGGCTGGTCGACTTGAAACCACATGAATGATTCCAGTCATGTCTCACTTGTGTGTGTGTGTTGGGAATTTGTACACTATCAATAAATATACAGTTAATTAAAAAATTCTCAATGTACTAATTTCCTCAATATAACTGCATATGGCTTCAAAATTCTCCAAAGAAATGTTCAAATTTCAAAATTCTCCCGGGGGGCTTACAGCGCCAGCGCCCCCGGAACTCCCAGATGTTTAGGCTCTCTTCACTCGTCACCCCACCCTCTTGGGTAGTTATAATGAGGGGGGGGGGCCTCCTAAAGGCTGCCCATGGGCCTCCACAGGTCTAAATCCGGCACTGATGGGGCGGGCTAAAGTTTATGACGTTACAGCTGTGTGTCCTTACTGTTTTAGAACTTGGGTGTGTCCTTACTGTATAGTCCTTGGAACATCCTAGGAGTGACAGCGCAAGGTGCCCAAGATTAGGGGAGCAGTCAGTGTTCCTGCGCCCAGCAGACAGGGGAGGGCTGTTCAGGCAATGTACAGTCTCGTTCAAGATTCTTCGAACACTGCCGGAGACAGCTGGCAACTCAAGGCCGTTTGTTTACTATAGACTATAGTACGTAGTGAAAATTATGAATGAATGTAAAAGTGATGGGTGATTGGTTAATTAGTTGCTTAATTAATGGTTTGGCTTTGTTGGTTCGCATTATATTATACTACGTACTATAGTAAACAAACGACCTCGAGTTGCCAGCTGTCTTCAGCAGTGTTCGAATAATCTTGAATGAGACTGTACATGCTAGTTATTGCCCCCCCCCCCTTTATTATTCCAGTGTGCTGGTATTGGCATCACTTTTTCTATGAGCTCAGCCACAGCCTCCCTGGATCAGACGATCCATTCTTCTATCTTGCAGGTGCACATCTTTACCTCTGTACCATAGAAGTAAAGATGTAAACAGGGAAGTAAAACGAGACCTGCTGCATACAAAATAGTTTGTTTTAACGTTTTCTTTTCGCTGTCTTAAGAACTTAATTTGTTTTAAATAAATCATGAATTACTCACCTTTAAAATAGTAGGCAAAATAGGTTTTGGCTCCCAAGTTTTCCCCAGTTTTCGATCCTGGTCCATCAGGCAGCGTCCCATCTTCCTCAGGGAAAACAGTAGAACAAAGCTTGCCACTGAGCAATAGAGGAATGTCACTTACAGTATATTTAAAGACTAGGTTGTGGCATGCTGACAATATAGTATCTAGATTTTTTTTTAAATAACTATTTATTCTTACATAAAAAGTAAGTAAGTTTTACATGCTCATTATTTTGTGGATGGGATAAAGGCTCTTCATTCGCAGGTATGGAACTAGAAGACACAGGCAGCAGTCACCTAAGACGTGTTGTCCGACAAGAACCTTTCTACGTTGGCGGCGTCCCTGCCCGGAGACCAGGTTCGGTAAGGTTCAATACCCACACACTTAAAGAATCTTATCATGAATACCCCTATAGTGTTGACAGTGATTGCGGGCCCTTCGTGCCCGGCAAAAGTTTGAATGCTCGTGCTTGGCTAGCGCAAGAACCGCCGTCTGGCCGACAGTGTACAGCGACAAAATGGTTAATTAATGCCTTCCTAAAGAAACCATTGACATAGGACTAGGTTTGTTCCTCTTTACAATTTTTTGGCGATTTTTCCACCAAGTTTGATGAAAAACTTTTGTGCCGTTTTGGCTGCCCAGAACAGACACACAGACACACAGCTATTCCTATAGTATATTAGATGATATGTGTTATGATTAGTTATGATGACGTGTTATGATTAGTTATGATGACGTGTGTTATTATTTGTCATGATGACGTGTGCTGTGATTAGTTATATGATGACGTGTGTTATGATTAGTTATGATGACGTGTGTTATGATTAGTTATGATGTGTTATTAGTTATGATGACGTGTGTTTTGATTAGTTATGATGACGTGTGTTATGATTAGTTATGATGACGTGATTTATGAAAGTCTATAAACTTGACCATCATTATTTTGTTTTAGAAATAGGGGGCCGTAGTCCGCTGCAGAAGATGCCGTCGTCCGCTTATCCGGAGAGGGTGAAGCTGCAGTTAAGTGTCTCAAGATGGCGACGCTGATATTGGATTTTGTCTGTTATCATGCATAAGAAAGCAAACTTATCGCTCCTAATGTTACAAACAGTTGAAACTTATGTTTCCTATTTGCAAGGAATTTAAGAAATTATTCATTTGCTTTCTTTTATTTAGTCAAAAACCCTGAAGATCTCATTGAAAAGTATACTCATCTTGGGACACTGCCATTAGGTGGGTTATGATTTTGTAGATAGAGAAAACTAAACAAAATAAAAAAATCACCTATAAATTAAAATAAAATGTTGTCGCCTCTTTTAAAATACTTAACAATAATGATAAGAATAGCTGTGGGGAAAACTAATGAAATAAAACAACTGGTGTTAGCCATATCCTGTATTACCACATACTGTGTGTGTGTGCCTCTGAAGATGTCTTGAATAAAGACGAAAGCTAAGGTGCTCCATTGTTTCCCATTTTCCCGTGTGATTTTAAAAAGATTTATCTTATCCAATCACGTTTCCATTGTGGATCTACATGAAAAAAAAAACAATCACAGCTAGCAGGGAAGGAGGTAAGGATGCTTTGCCCAATCACAGTCCGCTACGTCATATGACGTCATCAATAACGTAACAAAGACATACACTGCTAACCTACTCGAGCCGCTTACACAACATGGCGGATGGCGGGAGAGGGCGGGAGAGATGGCGGGAGGTTTGGATCCAAAAATGGCGCGCAGATTCGCCAGCCGCCCGCTGCAGGGGTAATGCATCATGAAAGTGAGCATTCGGTTTTCGGCAGGGTAATCACAGAACGTGGAAACGCTGTAGAGACCACAGTAAAGTAGGGTTGACTGTATATAAATATATATATATATATTAATATATATATATATATATATATATATATATATATATATATATATATATATATATATATATATATATATATATATATATATATATATATATATATATATATATATATATATATATATATATATATATATATATATATATATATATATATATATATATATATATATATATATATATAGAAACTGTCGGAATTTACTGGACTTTATTTTCTCACTTGACTTGGGGTTTATTAAAGATTATAAGATGGTAATGGCAGTGGAAGCGCCTTTGAGAAAAATCGAACCAGCACAAGAACACTTAAATCTGCTAAACAAAATGAATTGTCCGTGACCAGAAGGATAGCGTTGTGACTGGGATGAATGAGACACACTGTAAAATTTAGACACTTATATTCCCTCCAACACTACAAACACAATCAAATAATGGTACACCAATATGCGCACCTCTAAACTTGAACTTAAACACTACTCTGGGGAATAAAAGTTATTATGAGATCAGAATTATGAAGAAAAATTGGATGCATTAAAAGAATCAAATCACAGTATCACTCTGGTTCCACTTAATGAGACAAACATTCAAAAAACAATACTATCAAAATTATTTAAGAAATATTAAACTACACACGTCAAGATAATATCAGTAACTGAGAAATGGTATCAACTACACCCAAAAATATTCACTATTATTAATATGTTACTGGGTCCACCATTCGTAACCATGCTCCACCCAACTTAACATACACCCGTAATAAGGAGATAAAATGTTCCCAGGGTATCTCCTAGAGTCCTAGACTCACGGTCTCAGTGTGTGACCATTAATTTACTCAGTTAGCCTCAGTGTACTCCCAGTGCGTCCATAAAGTGGAAGGAGTGAGCCAATCAGACCTTGTACAGTTGAGAGAAGCTTTAGCTTCCCGTTACAAGAGGGTTTCACTAAGCTGCTCGCATGTGGTGTTGTGAGCCGAGTAGAGGAGAGCTGCTGATCCACGATCGTCCCGTCGTCAGCTGAGCACCCAGACGGCTAGATTCCTCAAGAGATCCTTTGATACCCCCGCTAAACAGTGACAGGCCTACACTGATCGGTCCAATGGCGACAATCGCCACCGTCAATCATCAACGGCAGTCTCAGGCAGTCAATCTCTCTCAGTCAAACCCGGTCAACTCCGGTCAACTCCGTCAAGTGGGTTCTGGACGGAAACCCTGAAATGAACTCACTGTTAGCTCTAGTTTACTTTACCACTGCCCTATCTAACCCTGTCTGAGATCGAATGAGACTTACTTGTTATACTGCAATAGCGAGCACAGGTGACTAGGCCACGTGACTATTTCTGTGACGGACGCCAAGGGACGTCTTGTTTTTGTCTGAATGCTCTCCGTACTGAGGACCAGCCGCTGCGTCTCTCTCAAGGCGTTAGCTTAGGCCTACGTGACATATTTTCTCCGCCTAACTAATAACCCTTGGGACACCCGTAACATTATTCAGACTGATAAACGATCTATAATAATTTCAAATTCAATAATAGTCCTTAACTTCATGAATCGCATCATTATTAATTCGGCAAATTACATTTAATATCACTTAGGCCTAGTTCCACAATCTCTCGCTATGGGCGGGGTTCTCTTCCCTCAGACGACCTTGAACGCTCAGTATCGCTAATGGCGGGGCATTTGAAATTACTCTGAAATTTCTGAATATTTCATATATATATATATATACACACACACACACACACATACACATGCCAGGTTATAATTAACGATATATAGCAACCCAACACAAGCTGACTTTGCTGGTTACCATGGAAACACGGACACCCTACCCTCACTGAATTTTAAAATGACTAATAATTTTAATATAAAAAATGCAAAAATATTTAAGAGCACAACTTTATTGATATTTACTCCACTTGAAACGAATGTAAACATAGAACAGATTACTGAATTGGCAGACTAGCCCATCAACTGATGCTCACAACAAAACGTGTTTTTCGTAAGGATTTCGTTAATCAAAGTTTTGTTCGTTAACGGAATTGAAGATCCTATAAGGTAATTCGTTAAACGAAATTTCGTTTAATCGAATCGTTCGTTAACTGAGGGACCTACTACAATAAAAAATAACAAAAAGTGACAGTTCGACTTTTATCATTCATATATGCACTGTACAGTGTACCCTAAAATGTTAATACAAGTACTTCCTAAATCCAGTAGTTCTCCATCACCATACATCTTTTATTCAGGATCATAAGTCAAAAAGGAATGGTCTTCAGTTGTTTCTTAAAGGCACCCATAGAAGTCAGCTGCTCTACTATCTACAAAATAAAGCATTTTCCAATCCTACAAACACTGCTTATAACTCCGTTTGTGTTGATTGCTCAGCCATCATCCAATTTTGGTTTCATCAGTACCTTGTTCTGTGCACTGTCTCTTAAGGTTCCCACACCCTGCCATACCACTTGACACAACTGAACCATCACAATATACATGCAATGTGTTTATTATAGCTAAATTACTACAATAATCCCAGGGTGGATCCTTACAAATTTTCCAAACAGCTGTACACCAGTCTGTCAGATTACATTTTTTAATTATGTTTATTAATCCTTTAATGTATCCTCTCTTACCATGCTTTGCCTCCAGATGGTCCTTTTATTTTTTAAGCCATCATTTATATCATGCAAAAGTGTACCCCCACTATTCCCTCATTAATTGAATTGCTGCAACTGTGTTAATTTCTTTGACCCTTTGTGAAGTGTGCTGTAACCCTAGTTCCATTTTCATTATCTCAATCATTACATTCTTTTGACATCCTAAAATTATTCTCATTGCTTCATTTTGCAGGATCTCAAGCATCCTTAGCCTCCCTTCACCAGTACAAGAGAGGACAGGTGCTGTCATGGGTGTCCACAGGATATTTTCCAGGGGGGGGGATGCAAGAAAGCAAGACAAGCTCTCACACAGTTTATTCAAAACAGTTCTGTATATAGAGTTGACTTTATGCTTTAGAAACTAACTAAATTATTTTTATACCATTAATCCCCAAAATCACTGAATTGTTTTCTGTATAATGGTGGACATGCCTGGTTCATTTATCTCGTATTTTTCCATTTAATTCCTTATTATCTTCATATTATTTCTTTCTCTTACTTCTAATTGTTTTTAGCTTTATTTTTTAATTCAATTTCTCCAAGTATACATACAGGGGTACTTGAAATGTACAGAAAAATAAAAATTTAATACTTTGTTCGTATACAGTAATAAAGGATAAGGATATAATAGCAGAAATATTAATGGGCAAAGTTGAGGGTAGGAGGGCCAGGGGAAGGCATAGACTGAGATGGATGAATTAAATTAAAAAATGGGTTCTCCGAGAGAATAAAGCCTTAGAAGGTTGATAAAAACAGCTGGAGAACGTTCAGAGTGGAAGACTGGTTGCCAACCCTTAGATAGGAGTACGGTACCCTGACTGAATGATCTTTAATTTCTATCACAACTGAAGTTGACAATGTAACCGTACTGTATTACAAACACGAAGCAACTGGAGCAGGTGGCTACACACCAGTTGTTGTTTGATTTCTTACATTTTCTCCATAGATGTTCTTTTGGATGATAGGTAAAAAATGATACTACAACTTTTTAATTTAATTTAATTTAATTGTTTTTCTATCAACAATCATAAATCACCTGTAGTAGGCAAGGTATTAAGGTTTTGTGCATTGTGGTATCATATTTATAACTTAATATCATCCAAAGAACACATGTGGAAAAAATTAATGAATCAAACAACTCATTCTGGTGTTGCCATCTGTTCCAGTAGTTGTACTGCACCTCTTCATTGCTGGAAATTAATAGGAAAATTAGTTACAGCCAAATTTACATTGTATTTTGTCTCATACAGACATATGTTAAAAGTTAATTGTCTGAAAAATCTCTTAAATACAAAAGTTTAATGTTAAATGTTTGTTTTTGTTTTTTTTTTTACGTGGATAGCCCACCCGGGCACAGGTCACTGACCCACATCGGGGCCTGGGGGGCGAAAATGTAATAATAATAATAATGATTATTGATAGTAAATGAAATTTATAATGAAATAAAAACAAAATTGAAAATAAAATAATAATAATAATAATAATAATAATAATAATAATAATAATAATAATAATAATAATAATAAAGAACCATAAAGAAATAAAAAAATAAAAAGATAAAAAATTAGAAACGATATATGTATGTTGTGTTGTCAATAGTAAGAGAAACAATTGAGACCCTGCAATTGTGTAAATGAGGCAGAAAGTCAGATCAGAACCTGGGACTCGGTCACAGTTTTCGTGACCTTGGAAAGGATTGCCAACACGGTTTTATGCCGAGTTGCTCCTGCTTAACACTGATCGGCTCACTAGCCGCTTGGGCGGTCGTTTACGTCTCTGTTACGCACTGTTAGCAAGTGCTGGGCATGAACTGGCTCCTGAATATATAGGATCCTGATCCAATGTTGGTCAAGTCTGGTCTTGAAAGAGTTCGCACTCGGTGCTCATACAACACTCTGGCAGATTGTTCCAAGAGTTCACAATTCTCAGTCAGAAAAGTTTGCCCTCACTGTTTTCTGGATTTGTGGCTTCTTCAACCTTGAACTGTGACCCCTTGTGGGGCGGGTGTCCACCAGCTTCAGGTATGAACATTCGACCGAGTAGTGCCCTCTGAGATGTTTATACACTTTGATTAGGTCGCTCCTCTGGCCCGTCTGTAGTATAGCTACTAAGCTAGGCAAATAAAAAAGTAAAAGTTGCAGGCGTTCTAATCTCTCTGGGTAGCTGCAGTTTGCTATTTCCTCATACACCTTATTAATGTGTTATTGTTGCCTCTTTGATTACTATTTTCACTTACACGTATTGTTTCACTTGGCGTCCCTTTTTTTCTCTCGCCATCCTTTGCTACACTCACGCATGCCACTAGATTTTTACCTGTTTCCATTTATTTTAGGATAATATATTGAAGAACGAAGTGATTAGTAAATAAGGTAGAAGAACACACAGTAGATCTGATCTGCACTTTTATTTAACACACACCCACATACACACACAGGTACAAGTCAACTACATGTTAGTTTTTATCTTTCATAATTGTTTTGTCACCAGTAAGATACTATGTACAAATTCTAGGCCTGAGACAAACCAGATCAAGCATATGGTACCTGGCTACGAGCAATTTGTGTTTGACCTGCGATATAGGAAATAATGAGGCAAAACACACTTACCTGGCATGTGGAGTGTGTTGATATAATGTATTACTACACGTCAACAATTGAGGTGATGAGGTCTTTGAGCGAAAATACTATTTCCTACACTTTTCACCAACAGTTAAAAGTTATTAGAAAACATTTCTTTGGTGACATATGGCATCGTCATAGGGAGAATTCGTTAAGCTGTATGGTGTTCTATATTTTAATCTGATGCCAGGCGAGATAATTTGGACGCAGAGTTGTGTGTTTTAGGGCAGCTGCACTGTTAACGCTTTGGAGATTTGATATTATTTTTTATAATACTGTATTTAATATCAGTTGGAAATTTTAGTTGTAATGATAAAGTAAATGCAAAATGGAACAACTTCGAAAAATGGAGTCATCGTGATTTTCGTTCGTGACAAACATCTACAAAAGATGTACCAAGAATAATGCATTATTTTTTTATTTGTTGAATTAATTTATCCGATTTATTGATTAAAATGCTCTACAGTACTTCTAATGCTACGAGATGTACTTTATGTGATCTGAGACAATAAATATGAGTCGTTTGTTTTGGCTCACCTGTGTGTATGTACTGTAGTAGTAGCATTATCAATTTCCAATCGAGAAAGCGAATACCTTGCAAATAGATTTTACTTATACTTGTATAATCGTAACTAATACCCATGATGATTCCTTAGATATATTGTACTGTAATTTCAACGCCCACTTGTAACGTCTGTGACAACTTCTAAACTACTAGCTCTTGGTTTGTTGTGTTGGCTGGTAGTTCTTGAAGATGCTTTGTGTTAAAAGCCAGATGCCAGTTGCGAGATGTGGTGCACCTCTTGCCTGAATCATGCTGCCTTCACTTACTCCTTTATTGACGAGAATTATAAATACAGGGTTTTTTTTATTTATCAGTCAGTCCACAGAAAATGCAACTGTACAAAAATTTTCAATTTCGAGGTACATGCTATTAATTTGGTACATTTGTCGTAGGGACATTACAAAGGAAGAGTAAATTGGCTTACATCCTGTCTTAGGTTTGTAGAAAGTGTTGGAAATGGCTTGGCAGATCGATACAGCTGTGGGTTTACTAATAAAATGCAAAAAGACCCTGGACATGTCAGGGGTGAATCCAGAATTTTGAAAGGAGGAAGGAGGGTAATAGCCAAACTACCATCGCCAGCTATCAAAGAATGTACTTTTATTGGAGTCTGGATCACAAGTGGTAGTTACTAGTTAGTCACTAGTTTCATTCAGCGAGTATGTTTAGAAGGTAGTTGTGATGCTTGAAATTTCTTGTCAGGAAATGTGAAGTCAAATTTGTTGTCAGGAATGGCGAGGTCAGATTTTTTTCATAGGCCAGTGTTCCCCACCCTCCTTTCTACCCTACCCTCAATTGAACTGGGTTCGTCACTGCATTAGAATTCTGCTGGCCTCTTGGTGGTTTCTCAAGAGGACCAGCAGTGTTGATATGTCTGGTGGAGAGACAGAAGTCTTCCTGTGTTTACCTCATTGTAACACAAACTGTATAATGTTTTGATACGAATAATTTATGTCATTGACCATATTTGTTTCTTTGTCATTGATCATAAACATATTGATTACCTGACCACATGAATGTTTTTCTTATTAATGACCAATTGGATGTTCATTACATTATGTCACTGACCACATGAATGTCAGATGCAGCATGAAGATTTAGTTGGGAAAATGAAAATTTATTTACTGAAGAGCAGTGTGTTTTGTGAACTTCTGAGTGTAGAAATATTAATAAAAAACATTTCAGCGTTAATCACATTACTCTATAATATAAAATCGTTGAACAGTACACAATTCTTGCTAGTAATTTGTTTCATGTATCATTCAACACTGATACATTTCAGAGCACTTTACACAATACAATATTTCTAGCAGGTTCCAAAAATGCTGCAGTTTGAAAATCCTTTGCAATACATAAACACAAACTTTATGATCCAAAGAGTCAATTAAACTATATAAGTATTTCATGTTTAGAACCTACACCACGTCCATTAGTGTGTGTATACGTGTAAGAAATTTAATGAGCAAATGTAGATTACTTAATATTTAACTGAATAAACTTAGAAATGGGCAAGCGCTGCAAGGCAAGAAAAATTACCATATTGATATAAACTGGAGGTGAGGAGGAAAGAAAATTTGCCGGTGCTGTTCCCTCCTTGTTATACTGGGGAATGTTCACTATTTAATTAACGCTTGCCTTGAGGGTAAACGGCTTATGGTTAATGGTTGTATATCAGAGGGCGAAGGTGTTGTTTTCATAGTTATGTTGATGTGTATGAGGAAAAATATTAACTACACATGTTCACTGATTATAAGATGAATTATTAGATAGGTAAGATTTTTGCAAAGGGAACATTTAATTTTATTAGAATTCATTGCAATATCATGACTAATAATTGTGCACCAGGCTGCAAGTATATGTTGTGATGAGCATTCAACTATTTTGTATTCTGTTCTCTCGCCCCTCAGCTGAAGTAGTCACTCGCAAATTGTTGTATGTAAATCAATAATATGGAATATATCTTGGAATTCATATAAATTAATTAAATATATATTATATCACTACATTCATAGAATTCAAATCCAAGTACAACTAACAATATCTTATATACATAATATATCAGGAACAAATTTCCCTCTTTGTACATATATAAAGAGAACATCTTTACCAAAACACAATATCTAACTATACATCTGCAGTATAAGAATTTGTAATACTCTAGATTTTCCTGCGCTAAACCTGTTACACTATTAAGAAATAGATTCTTGCTCTGAAGAACTGGGTGTCTTGGTCTTAGAGGTGCTAGAAACTTAGTGGTTAGGTTTGAAAAGTTTGGGACACTGACTTTAAGGTTTGGGGGGCTGTGTTCACGAGAACATTTGAACACAGCTATAGATAATGTGCTCATAAACATATGAACGCACTATCTTGGCTACAAACAGCGTGTTAAAGGAGAACATGTGAACACACATTTAGCGATAGATGACGTGTTCAGGGAGGACATACGTAAACATTCTCTAAGACATAAGAGTTTGTTGAAGAAAGAAGGCAATAACACTGTAACCAGGGAGAAGATATCCCAACACTGCTATATCAGGTACAGTGTCCAGAGGATGGTAGGGAGAATTATATACTGAGTAGTGTATTGTGGCAAGGAGGAACATATAACTGTACTGACAACAGCTACACTCATATACACTAAGGAGGTGTCCACAAAGGCTCTCTTTTTCTCTCAGCTCTTGATTTTGGAGGGGAAGGGGATTGGAAGGTCACCATCAGGACACCTAAGTCTATAAAAAACAAAACAAAAAAATCTTGTAAACTGAGGAAAAGGAACCTGCCAATATGTTCCTTCAGTTAGTATTTACCTACAGGAACTTTTTTTTTTCAACCATGACATTCCTGTAAGTGAACAGTCATCAAGTATGAATAGTGATGTATGTTGTTTCTTCACAAAATATAAGCGTCGAGGAACTTGGCGAGGTAAATGTCTTGCCTTCGATTTACTCTGCTGAGAATGATTCACCCCACCATGCCCTCAGACGAGGCCGCGGAGGCTTGACTCTTTTCCTCTCATACATCGTCGAGGACGACTACAACAGCTGACATGAGTCACATCCTTAGATGAGACCGTGGAGGGCGAGTGCATTTTGCCCGCCCTCAAACTCGGGTCAGGTCCAAGGGATGATCTTGACATAGTCGGGGCTGACGTAGATCTTCAGGTCTAGGATATCATACTGCAAGTCCTGGACTCTCTCTCTCTTAGGCAGGCCTGGCAAGGAGACAGGATGATATTATTTGACTACTGTAGTAGGGGAACCCAGTTGTTGGGTTTGTTTTTGAGAGGTAGTGCATAGCGTATGTCCTTGATTACACTATCAACTGCACTATCATCTACATTACATTAATAATGGTTGCCCCTTGTATAAAGAGGATGGCCAGCCCTAAGGCCACCTTGGCGTGAATTTGTGTAAGGTGTAGAAGCTGTCGCCAACACCACAACCTAAGTTAATCAGCTGCATGACCTAGTATCGAGGAATAGTCCGAGAAGACAGGACAACTCGCAAACTGCACTGGCTAACTATTTCGGTGGAATATGAAATGCAATGCAAATCGATTAACACCCAGGCTCCCAATTACTGCTTGGTAGACAGATTCAAATGGCGTAAAGAAACTTGCCCATAGTTTCACCCTGTCCGGGGATCGAACCCGGGTCCGCTGGCTTGCGAGGCGAGCATGCTGACCATTACACCACAGGTCTTTGCTACATTAGTTACACTATTAGCTACACTACATTAACTAAACTGTTATCTACACACTACATTAACTACATATACACAAAATCGTGCTTGTGTTGCCCACATTACTTTTTCGTTACTACAGTACTGGCGTGCCGAGTTTGCTTTTTTGGGGGAACAGCTCATAGCCTAGTGACTATACTGTACTATATACAATACTTCAGCTACACTACATCAACTATCATTTACACATCAATTACACTATTGTTTACACTATCACTTTTAGGTGTGGTGTGGCTCCTGGCATTTTACCACTCCCCCAATTTATTTATTTATTTATTTATTTATTATGTTTTTAAAGCTAAATCTAAAAAAAAGTGTGACTAAGGTGCACACCTCCAGGGTCCCTTTGAAATGCATGCAAAGTTTCCTCTAGGTTGCATGGTCCAATGGCGCTATCTGATACACACACACACACACACAGGTTTTTTTTATTAATAACATTATAAATAAAATAAAATTGTGCACATATACAATATACACGAGATCAAAGTAAACTTTCCACGGTAATACTTACAGAGGGAGTGTGTGTATAACGTCACCACCAAAATGGCAACTGGCGTGTTTTGTTTACTTGACTGTCATCACAAAAAACTCAACTACAGTGTCTGCTTTATGATAAGCAGTTAGAACAAGTAACACAATATGGATAATTATTTGTGATTAGTGTGTTGTGGTATGTAAATCCTGAAAATAAACAGCACATGAACTCCCTGGGCTGTACAGTCGGTGACATACGAAAGTTTTCAACACGCAGCATTAGAGGGAAGCAAGTGTTTGAGTGACCAAATATTGTCAGGTGCAGCAGGTTATATTAATGACATCAAAGCTGAATCCAGCCCGGATGAAGGGATCTCAGTTACAACGTAAGATTGTTTATTTGTTAGTCCTCCAAATAATTCTATTAGGTGTTACTTAAACATTTACAACCGTAGTGCAAGCATTTAGTCGTATTTTCAATCATTGTGTGGACCCTTATTGGAACTATTTTCTTTTGTTGCTTATACAGTACACCAAAAAGTGGTGAAAATTGAGAAAACTTGTGAAAAGAAAAGACGAAAGTTGACGTTAACTTTACACTTTAGTCCGTCCACAGTTTCGGCAACAACACATCACTCTTCCGCCATAATTTTTGCTTCTATTGCCTTCTGTTGGGAATTTTTTTTTCGGAGTTAGGACAAATATTATATAGCATGGATATGCATTCCAGACCACACGCGCGCTGCACCCTCCTCCGCTCATGGCTCGTACAGTAACATTTACTTAATTTGGTAACCAAACAAACCTTTTAAAACCTAACCCAACATAACCTATCCTAACCTTTCCTAACTTGCAAAAATTTTAAGAATCGCTTTTGAGTTTATGGATCCCTCTTCATCTGTACACCGAAAACATCATCACATACTAAAACCGAAAACCTCACCCTCACTTAAGGTAGCAGGCAGCTACCAAACAGGAGAGTACTACCGCCTGGGAAGATATTGGAAGCATAATGTATTGTATAATGGTAGACCCTGCTGTCATATGGCATCACGAAAATTGTGACTAAGTCCCAGGTTGCTGATCTGACTTGTTGCCTCATTTACTCACAATTGCAGGGTCTCAATTGTTTCTCTTACTGTTATAAACACAACATACATACTGTATATTGCTTCTCACTTTTGATCTTTTTTCATTTTTATATTTCTTCGTGGCTCTTTGTTATTATTATTAATATTTTATTTTAGTTTTTAATTTCATATTCTTTGTTGTAGATTTTGTTGACTATGAATTATTATTATTATTATTATTATTATTATTATTATTATTATTATTATTATTATTATTATTATTATTAAAATACTGGTTAAAATACTCGAATCACAAGTCAGTCGATGGCGATCCATGGGAAGAGTGTGTAGTGTGCCGACCAAATTGGCACTGGCTCAAGTAAGGAAGGACAAGAAAATGGAAAAGAGAGTTGGTGCCAGTACACGTCCTTGTTTTTCCCCTGTTTGGATGGGGAATAAATCAGACTGGGTGCCATTGTGCAGGACACTGCCGTTCATGCCATCATGGAGCTGCCTCACAGTGGTGATAAATTTTGGTGGGCAGCCACAACGGCTGAGGGACCACCAGAGGGCTTTCCTGTTGACCGAGTTGAAGGCCTTGGTTAGGTTGATGAAGGCTATGTACAGGTCACAACGCTGTTCTCCGCACTTTTCCTGTATCTGGCGGGCAGCAAAGATCAAGTCAGTGATGCCACATGATGGTCTAAAGCCACATTGAGATTCTGGGAGGAAGTTTTCCAGCTGAGGAAAAAGTCTGTTCAGGAGAACTCGGGTGATAATCTTGCCAACTATGGACAACAGTGAGATCCTGTAGTAGTTGCCACAGTCTGACCGGTCTCCCTTGTTCTTATAAATATTGACAATGGAGGCGTCTTTAATAGTTTAGGGTATTTCCTCCTTTTCCCATATACGACTATTCTCCAGGAGAGAGTGGAGACGGCTAGTAAGCAGAGGTCCTCCTGCTTTATACACCTCGGCTGGGATTCCATCAGGCCCTGAGGCTGTTATTTTTCACGTGTTTGACGGCAGTAGCCACCTCATCCATGGATGGAGGATAGTTGAGATGGGTCAGCTCTGGATGCTCAGGGACCTGCTAGGTAGTCAGGACATCCTTATTGGAGTTTCGGTTGAGCAGCGAATGTTAGTGCTCTTTCCAGCGCTGACGGATGCCTTCTTCGTCTTTAATTAGGGAGTTAAGGAGTTACAGTCGGATGATCGGAGGGGGTCTGTGCCATGAGTGATTGTCCCACACACACACACACACAATATAAAAAAACAAAAACATTTAGACTGCATCATGACCGGGAAACAATAGTGAAAATAGCAAAAAGCAATTGGTGCACACAACATCCAGCACCATAACCACAACACTTATTCTTCACCATAACCATAAAATGCACCATAACCACATCATTTACTCTGCTTCATTCCCATAAAATGTACCATAACCACATTACTTACTCTGTACCATAAGCTTGTAGGCGTAAGTTTGGCCAGGGAGAAGAGGTGCGCCGCTGAGGTTCCTGGTGAGAACGCCTGTGTCTTGGTGCAGGGCGAAGCGATGGTCCCCAGGGGCGGCGAACAGTTGGTAGGTGACGTAGGCGCACGGACACCTCCCTGCCTCACCCCCAGGGCCCAATGGACACGTCAGCCCCAAGTCCCCATCCGTAGCCCACGCCCGGTACACTGCTCCTGTGGGAACAAGATCACATTAGGAGGTCGGTACTGCTTAAGGGGGGAGAGTTGATACACACACACACACGCACACGTGAATTTTAAACTGAAATTAAAACACTTCTCACACCAAGGTAACACAGAAACAAAAGTGAGCAACAACAACAATATTGACATGACTGTACCTTTTGAGTGCTGGAGCTCTCTTAAAGGACACCTGATAAATACTGTACGAA